ACAGCTGCATCGTAAACAGGTCATAAACACCATTATCTTTTAACAACACACTTCCACAGTCTCCCCATCCTAGGATCAGTGCGTCTTCTGTTCAGCGCAATCAGCCTTCATCTTTATGACCTCCTCATCTGCAACTGCTTCCTTCTCAGCTCCATTTATGATCTTTGCCTGCAGACAACTCATCACATCCTTTACTCACACTTACATCATGAAAGGTTATAAAATCAAATAGTCAAGTTAAAGAATAGGAGAATATATAAGATAAATCTATATTCAATTATTCCAACAGCTTTGTCACATCCTTCAGACTCTTCATGTAATCCCAGACATACTCGATTATGTTCAGATCAGGGCTCTGTGAGGGCCATACCATCACTTCCAATAATTCTTGTTCTTCTTTACCCAGAAGATAGTCCTTAATGTCCTAGACTGTATGTTTGGGTTCGCTCACTAAGCATTTTGTAAATTGATAAAAATAAGCAATCATTAGCAGCAGCAGCGACCCACTATGGAAGAAGCGGTATAGAAAATGACTGACTGGCCGAAACAATCATCGTTTCTATTTCTGAAAGCATTTTTACAGAATTGTTTCACACCTGCCTAAAACTTTTGCATGGCACTGTATATGTAAAGCATTTCCGAGGGTTAAATCTTTATCAACACAGTCAATAGTAAGAGCACACTTCTAATAAATGTATCCTTTTGACAACCAACTCTGAAGAATATCTTCATTGAGAATCCAATATATTATAGTATTTTAATCTACAGTGTAATCTAAAGCATGAAATCATCACTTAAATGATGATTTGTCAACACTGCTCACCCTGGATGTCCCCATGTCTTAGGAAAATACACCCTGCAGCAATTTCTTCTTTTCTTTCATCTTTTCTTTTTAAGGATGCAGAGCAAGACAGTCAGTGAAAAGGCTGGTTGGTATAACTCCAATAAAGGGAATGTAATTTTATTTCTATTGCATGAAGTTGCAATTTTGTAACAATTTAGCCCATGTTGTTTAGAGGATTTCGGATCCTTTGCAGTTACTATCTCAAAATTAAAGTACTGTGAGTGATCAAAGTTGTTAATTTTTCATGAAAACATTCATGTGACAGCACAATGTGTCCAGACTACAGGGGACACATCTTATAGCAGATGATGGTCTCTGTGGAAAAGTGTCCATTCATCCCTGACTGACACAACAATGCATTATGTGGCTTATCAGAGCTGACTCCAAATGACAACTCTGTGAGGGTCCTACAGCTGTCTTTTATGTAAAGAAATGGCCATCAGCTGTGATAGTGGAGCTGGAATCCTGAAGAAACTCACAAGCCGTTGACCTTTAAAACTGCCAAACTTTGCAGAACAGATGAACTGTTGTTCATCTGTTCAGTCGACATTTTACTCCAATCAGATGTTTGGGTGTCCCTTCATCTCTACAGGAATAGAAACACCTCTTTACTTTAAAGATACAAACAGTATATGTATGTCATTAGAGCTGTTAAAGAAAAATCTGTCCTGGTTTTCATAATGTTTAATATTATACAGCAATTTCAGCAGCTTCCTATTCAGTCTCTAAAGATCCACTTTAAATGCAGTATAAACTATACAAATGGGCTCAAGGTGACATTAGTAGCACTAACAGGACCAAGCTGTGTTTGCACTGGACCTGATACCAATCTGGTTTAGGTAATTTTGAAGCAACATGGGTGAAATACTGAGACAAAACAGGTTCCCTTATCGATCTTTCACAAGTAAAACCCTTGTTTTTGCTCACCCAGGTATTATCAGACATTCTGTCAACAACAGGTATTTTTTCTGTTGTTGTCTATAGTAGGGTGGCTGCACGGTGGTGCAGTTGGTAGCACAGCAAGAAGGTCCTGGGTTCGACTCCCGGCCGGGGGGTCTTTCTGCATGGAGTTTGCATGTTCTCCCCGTGCATGCGTGGGTTCTCTCCGGGTACTCCGGCTTCCTCTCACAGTCCAAAGACATGCCTGTTAGGTTAATTGGTGTCTCTAAATTGCCCTTAGGTGTGTGAATGAGTGTGTGCATGGTTGTTTGTGTGTTGCCCTGCGATGGACTGGCGACTTGTCCAGGGTGTATCCCGCCTCTCGCCCGTAAACTACTGGAGATAGGCACCAGCTTCTCCGCAACCGACTATGGAAGAAGCAGTATAGAAAATGACTGACTGACTGTTTATAGTAGGCATTTTGCAGCAGCATATACAGCAAAAAGGTTAATTTGGGATTAGAGACTTATACTGGTATAAGTAGTCTGGCAGTACTATCATAAAAATACGCGTTTATCTTTTTTGTTTTGTGAATTTTCAGCAAACTTCAGTGAATGACAGGCTAAGCTTTGACAACACTGACTAAAGTACTGATGCATGCTGAGATGTAGACTACATTTACAAATTGGCTTCTGTTGGTATACTGGATTGTCGACACTGTTCTCTTTGCAGAACTCATTTTGATGAAAGCTATTAGAAACTGGAGACAAAAAAGATTACTGTATATTGTATTTTTTTTTACCTGAAGAACAATTTTGTCCCCAAAGATGAGAAAAGTGCTGTGGCTTAAGTTTATTCATGTTCGGAATGAAGCTTTATGCTAAAACTGAGACTGAATGAAACAAAACACAATGATCCATCCCTTTACTTTCCTCACTTTAAACAACACACTGACCTCTCAGTGCTTATACAAACAAGTTTTACTTTATTTCATTTCACAAGTTACAGTAACTTGCAATAGTATACATAACCCTTGAATCCTTTTACTCTTTGTCTCATTACAATTAACTTCAGTGTGTTTAACTGGGACTCAGTGTGTGAGAAGAACACAAAGTAGTGCATAAATATGTGTGTGAAAGAACAATGATTCTAACATTTTTTACAACTAAAAATCTAAAATGAGTGGCATGATACCAATGGCATGAGCCCCCTGTGTCAACACTTTGTATAACCAATTTTAACTGCATAGACAGCTGCAAGTCTAGAGGTATACAGCTAGGCACATTTAGGGACTGAAGTATTTGCCCATTCTTAGTAAAATAGATACTGCTCAGCCAGATTGGACAGAGATCAACTGTGAAGTACTGCCACATATTCTCAATTGGATTTAGGTCTGTGACTTTGACTAGGCCATTCCAAGACATGCACATGCTTTGAATTAAACCATTCATTCAAGCTCTAGCTATATGTTAAGGGTTCTTGTCTTTGTGGAAGGTTAACCTCTGTCCCAGTCTTAACGCTTTGCCGCTTCTAACAGGTTTTCTTCAAGGATTCCATTATTTATCTCCATCCATCTTCTGAATAACTCTGTCCAGCTTGCTGAAGAAAAGCATCCCCACATTATGATGACACAACCAACATGTTATATCGTGGGGTAGTGTGTGGAGTATTAGTTTTCCACAAGACATAGCATTCTCCATGTAGGCCAGAAATATCAATTTTATGCTCATCTGACCAGAGCATCTTCTTCCACATATTTGTTATGTCCTCTACACGACTTGCTGCATACTTTAAAGAGACCTCCTATTGTTTTCTTTTGACAGTGTTTTTCTCCTTGTCACTCTGTATTCAAGGCAAGATCTGTAGAGTGCATGCTTAAATGTTGTCTTGTCAACAGATTTTCCCACTTAAGCTGTAGATCTCTGCAGCTCCTCCACAGTTACTGTGGGTCTCCAAGCTGCTTCTCTGATTAATGCTCTCCTTGTCAGGCCAGTCAGTGTAGGTTGTTTTTGCAGTTTGGACTTTACTCTGTAGGTTTCAGATGATGGGTTGAATAGTGAGATGTTCACAGCTTAGGATATCGTTTTAAAACCTAAACTTGTTTTAAACTTCTTGTTAGTGTTTGAAAACTTTTGTATTGTTTATCACTCATGTCTGCTCTAAGTGCTTTTCCCTCCTACATGCCACAGAAAGGGATATGGGGGAGACGAGTGAGTTATGCTTTTATCAGCAACATCT